TATATATATATATATATTATTATTATTTTTTTTTCACAAATTTTACATTGCTGCAGCACCTCTCTTTCCAGTCTGTCAGTAACGCTCTGTTTAGTTCTCTATGCAGCCCCCACTGCTAAAAAGCACAATGTGCTCTGATTGGTTGGGTGGACCAGTGTGTTTTTTGATTAAAAATTTTGTTATAATATCTGGATTAAGTTGTCTGAGATTACCGTTCAACACGGCACAACAACAAAAAATAATGTAAAAATAAAAAAGTGGACCAGGCATATATATTACATATTTAAACCAGCCTGACTCTGTCACACTGCAGCTGCCATTACCTGAGATACGATCTTATACAAGAGCCTCTAAAGACATCCGGATGAAGAAGTAGTTACTCGTATCAAAACATGTGTCTCTTTTCTTTCCAAAAACTGATAGAATGAGCTCAGGTTGCATAAGAGTGGATACTTACTAAACATCTGGCGGACGATAAAAAAAAATCCCCCTACATTAAAAGAGGTATCTGAACCATATCTCAAACCAGAATATCATGGGATGGGCTCTTGTGACCTGGGTCAGAAAGCACCCTAGAAACATTAAAAAGCCATGACAACCAGCCACAATTCACATTGTGATTTTTCTTCAAATGCAATGCAAAGCACACACTTATTCGTACATTTAAAAAAAAAAATGTATATCGCCCGTTATCTGGCAACTTCCAAGTCAAACATCAAGGTAAAATTAATCTTTTGCTGCTTCTTCAATGAAACTGTACTGACATAAGACATCAGTCAATGACAACAGAGAGAGTCCCAGAGCACTCAATCCTAAAGTCCTTCTCAGAGAACTTATTAATATCGGACTGAATTCCTGCATGTCAGCTGAACATATTAAAGGCCTGTTTGCATAAAGAACCATAACGTTCCAACTCTAGTTAAATTAGGACATTTAAGTAGCTTTTATAAACATGCCTTGGAAAAAAAAAAAACATTACCGGTAGTGCATCTTGAGACAAAACAATGGCACTGACATGTTTTAAGATAAGTCAGTGCAAGTAGCTCTCAGTAAAGACAGCTCAAGCATGCATTTCAGTCTGGGACTAGACTTAAGCCTCGTCTGTGAAACCTTCGTTTAGTGATAATGACACAGAGGAACAATATCTTTGGGATCACTTTCAGAAAGTTTTTGTTTCTCAGGCTGATGAATGATCAAATCCTGCTGACTTTACAGACCATAACTGCAGTGCGCACCTGCAATGTTACAAACAGAATGTTATCTTCTATTGGGAAGGACACTCACATATAAATTATCGTTCTTGGTGTGAACAAGTCTTAAAGGGATAGACCACCAAAAAAATGAAAAATGTCTTTCATGACCCTCATATCATTCCAAAGCTAGCGTGGTCTCATGAGTACGAGTAAACTATTTTAAACTATTTTATGAACTTAATGAATTTGTACGAAAATGTACGAATTAAAAATAAATAAAAACGTAAGCATGAAGGTCCACCCCTTAAACTTAACCTTCAGTGAGGCATAAGCAGTTCGTACAAAAGCTTGCAAATGAGATTGCAAAAATTCATATGAATTAGCCAACAATTCGCCCAAACTTAAAATAATTATGAATTGAAATGAATGTGTTTTTGTAGCCTGTATGCACTTCTTATTCTGCAGAACACAAAAGAAGATATTTTGAAGAATGTTGGAAACCATAACACTGGTGAACATTACTCCGGAAAGATAAAAGGAGGAGTGACGACGATGAATGACGAGAGAAGGACGAGGCCTGGATTTCATGTTGTTGGATTTATTATGTTTATATGCGTCAGTCGTGCGTGAGGGGTCGTCGCTTTACTTTTGTTTTGTTGTTTGTTTATTTTATGATTAAAGTTTTGCCGCTTCCCGTCTCCTTCTTCCCTCATCCTTGAACATCATTCTTTTCAGTTCTACAGAAGAAAGCAAGTAATTCAGATTTGGAATGACATGAATTAAATGATGACAGAATGATCATTTTTGGGTGAATTATCTATCACGTACCAGCCTCCAAACCCTGTGAATGATTACGAAAATTTGGTGCATCAAGTGAAAAAAAAAAAAAAACAGCACAAATATATCTTGCTAATTCAGTATTGACTAAACAATTTACAATTTAAGGATGTTGAATAAAAAACGACACATATTGCTGCATATAAGACAGCAAGCTTGTGTAACAAAACATTTAACACACATCACTCTCTGTGGATAAAGTGCTAAAGTGTCAATACACATCCTGTTATTAATTTAGCTGCAACAGTGCTAAAAGCTTCCTGAGTATGTTTATTAATAGACAGAATTATGAAAATGCCCAACTCTGACCCAAAATGACACACACCACATCAGTACACATCATACTTTCAACACTTTCCAAATTCTTAGAACTTCTCACAAACACTTGAGGGCAATTATAGTTTCAATTCAGCCAGTCAGAAATGTGAAATGTTTGCGTATGAGCATTCATGCACATGGCTGATTAATTTAGCCATGTACACAATATACCGCCGGACACACACACACTTCAATAAGAGCTAAGAGAGACAACACAGCACATGGCACAACAATGCATGTGAATGTGCAAAGCCTAAAAATTTAAAAATAGAGAATGTTAGTAAGAACTGTACGCGTGTAAAGAGGAGTGTGTGCAAAGGTGTGTGAAGGGGAGAGATGTGTGTGAGTGACTGTCATGTGAATAAGAGGCAGCACATTCCTTCACGCTGAGGTGTTTAATCTCTCTGGAAACCCCTCCTCGGCGCTGAGAGAAGCCGACTATCAAAGATCAAGTTTGTTTGATCCAGACTGACCCCCCGTAAAGACCCTGAGCCGTCAGTCTGAAGAATGAGACCATACGAACACATCAACACCCTCATTTCTCGCTCTTATTCATGAGTTATCATGCAGGAGTATAAAAAAGAAACATATCCCTGCTCAATACATGTCAAATCAATGTACTCAACTACTAGCTGCACACATAATTATGATGCAGTTTTATGAGCTTATACAGTATCAGTTGAGATACGCCATTGAATATTTAATCAAAATCAGGTTGAAAAAGGAAAAGTTCCTTCCCACGTTATTTGTCAAAAACCTGCCGTCTTCCATTGTTCAGAAATGAAGTAAAAATTACGATTTTTAGGGACCATATATAAACCTTCCAAGACCGTTCTCCCAACATTATAACTGCTTATTTGTATAACTTTATATATTTTCAAACACTTTAAGCTTGGAATCAAATACTGTAATGCTGTGTTTCAACTCAGTCCTGGTTAGATTCATGGCACAAAAGTCAGAAAATACTTCCAAAACCAAGACTGGCAAAAAAGTGGACGATCCCTTTTGCGCTATATTAGATATGCCAGAAACCACAAATGGCATGGGAAATAATATGTTTTAACATCCGAAAAATATGTTGCAAAATTCAAACTGTACCAAGATTCTTTATGAATGTTGTACATTTGAAAGTTTCAAAGATTTCCAGAAATATGGGACTGGAGTGCTCTTGCAAGACAGAAAAGTGAAGGGCTGATCAAGCAAAATGGAATGTATCATAATTCTAATATGGTAAATGATGCATGTAAATGCACTGGCACATAAACAGCCTTTCCGTTATGTAATTGAGTGCTATCAGAGAAGGCCTGCACTTTAGCCAAAAGTGAGGGTCTCCTGACGACTCAAAGTACACTTATAAAGCATATCTTCTTATCCATACTCCTCCAACAAAACTTGCACTTTTGACCAAAATGTACTGATCTTTACTACAGGGATGCTATGGAAATGTTTTACCAGAAGAGATAGTAGAACTAATGCATGATTATGATCGGCAGCTTTGGTTTTAAAGGTATTTTCTTAAAAATGAGATGATTCCTGCGTGAGTGTGATTGATATTTGGTTCTATCTTTGTTTGATTTAGAATATGAGTGTGAAAAATGGATTGAATAAACAGATGTAAATGTCTTTGTTGGGCTGAACAATAACTGAATGAATCCAGGCCAAGTTGTTAACTGAGAAACTAGGTCAACACTACTCTGCATAATGTAATAATAATGTATGTTAATGTGACTAGATAATTTTTCATTTCCTGAGGATCCCTGGGTTCACTGTAAAAAAAGAATAAGCTGACTTACATTTTTAAGTGCAATCAACTTGGATGTGCAGTCATTTCAACTTAAATTCCATTAAACTGACTTAAAAAATGAGTTGAATCTTGTATAACTTAAAAATTTTTTTTTGATGAGTTAAAGCAATGCAAAAACATGTAATAACTTATTGATCATATAATTTTTTACAGTGTTGGCTCTGAGAGTTTGATGCACTTGATCTCAATTTTGTGAATATTTCAGACACTCTTTCAGTTTACGTCAATGTTTCTATGTCAAAGGTCATGTGTCCTGTGACCCTGCACACCCCAGGTCACCACCCAACAATGGCTCTAAAGCTACACCACATCAACACTTCTGTTCAAATTTGTAAAAGCAAAAATCGTGCAATTCCTTTCTCTCGTAATCACATTCATCTCTCAAATATAACACTATTTTCATCATTAAGCGCAACACAATTTCATAGTCACAAGTCTCTAGCCTTGCTTCGAATTTCATTCATATTCATGGTTCATTAATGCTCAGCATGTTAACGAGCTGTCAATGGTCATAAACAGCTCTCAAGAGACAACCTTGCATATATGAATGACTATTAGTATAGGCCTAACTGGCAGGTTGTTATCTTTACACACTGGTTGGTAAGAAATAAACGAACATGTTAAATCCAGAGGGGAAATCTGCATGCTCCTATATGCAGACAAGAGCAGCAGTGTGTGCGTGCGCCCGTGTTTGTGTATAAGTGGGTCAACCAGCTGGATTTAAATATCAGTAGGCTAGCTATATGAATGACTGACACAGCCTGAATCACATCAGCTGAACTAGAATGCCGTTTAGTTCAGGAGACTCTAGAAACATAAAGCGTTTTGCTGAATGAAAGTGCACGTACAGTGGTTGGATCCGCTCCAGTGCTGATGTCTGATGGATGAGCTGAAGGGATGTGGCATCTTGTCCGGGATCAGACATCCTCTGCTCTGATTATAGTAATCCATCATGAGGAAAGGGTTCACATCCACACTCTCATACATGATCAGATCGGACTCAATTCCTCAATGAAACATCCACGACTATACACTTCAACATAGAGCTTTAACAGAGAGATGGATCCATCCCAAAGATTCCCAGAGGAGATCAGGAACTACAGAAGCGAGTAAAACTAAAGCTGAAGTGCGTGTGCATGGTCAGAGATCCGGTTCGGTCCGATCAATGTCCGCTAAAATACTTTTTGCAAAAATATATTCATATAAATGATCAACAATGTCCTTGTTTCAAAATGCAATTTCTAAGAAGTCCATACTGTGTTCCTTCTTACTCCAAATCTTGATCGGTTAATTAATAGCCTACAATAAGAAAATACAGAATGGACGAGACATCAATAAATCCATGAAATGTTCAGTGTTGAAAGGTGAGTTTGGTCCAGTATTATTTGCGAAGCTCCGATTTGGGGATGTGATTATTTTGTCTCGCTTGTGTCCCCCTGATATCATCAAACTCGCGCTGAAATATTAAAGAGGTTCCTTTTAAATGTCTCGTGTCCTGGCGGTTAGAAACAGCACACAGACGCGCGTTTAATCAGCTTGTGTGAGCGTGTTCGTGCGCGCGGAGCTGCTGAGAGAGTGTGAGAAGATCTTGACGAGTGCGAGCAGCTGTCTATAAGCCCCGCCCATTGGCGGTGACGAAACGAGTGACTGCGTTCAGACTCCGCCCATATGCCATCAATCTCCGCCAGCCTTAACGTCTCTCTATCTCCAAAGTCCCGCACACATCACGTCGCTCTCACCTTTTAGTCAAGCAAAATAATTAATGAAGTTTTTTTTTTTTTTTTTTTTTTGGAATGGCAGGCCTAAAATGTCCCTACACAAAAATAAATAAATAAATAATAAGAAAAGAGCAAAAAACAGGACCACATGGTGTTGTTAGCAATGTGGTCATGGGTTCGATTTCCAGAGAATGCATGAACTGAGAAATTAAATGATTTCAATGCAATGTAAGTCTGTCAAATGCATAAATGTAAATGTAAAATGTCCCCAATTGAAATAGGTGAATATAAATGTTCATCTATCTATCTATCCATCCATCCATCATCCATCCATCCATCCATCCATCCGAGTGGAGCTTTATTCGGTGTTCTAAAACCAGCTGAGTCAGCAGTAAAGATTTGGACATTTAAATTCAGAAACAATACATTTCTGTTTATAACAGTTTTTCTCAGTTGCTTTGGTACATTTCTCGAATCATCCTCGACATTTGCAAAACAGTAAGTGCATTTCTCAAAACAATTCGTAAATAGCAAAACACCATGGATGTCATGCAGTCTCTTGCTCAAAATCCTTGGTTTATCTCTCAAAAGTAAATATGTGTGTGTGTCAATGAACATGTCAGTGCCATCAGAATGACAAGTCCTTGTGTCATTGTGTACGGATAAGACAGTCAAATTGCTTAGTCATGTTGTCAATATAACAGTGTACTCTATGGCTAAAGTTTTGATGGCAATTATTGTAAATTGTAGGTTACACCTTAGTGTATTTTGATTGCAATTTTGATTGGGAGTTTGATTGCAAGAGACTGGACAAGATTCACATGTACACTTTTACTGTTTGTACTGTTATTTGTTGACAGACCATGTCATTGCGATACAGAAAGGAAAAGACAGCACTGCATAGCACAAAGAAAAAAAAAGAAAAAACAAAAGTAAAAATGTGAACATAGGACAATCTCCTTAGGGAAAACTGTACATGCATATTATGACAACTTGTTCAACCATTTTGCATGTAAAGACTTATGCTATGGACTAATGCCTAAATGTTGTGGGGGTGAGACTATTCAACAGAGACCCATTATAATACATTTTGATCAACATGACATAAGTAATTGATAATGTAGGAAACAGCAGATAATTGTACATAATCATTTGCATGGATGTACCAAAGGATTTGCAACTTGTTCAAAGAAATGAGAAACTTCTTTTTTGTAACACAATGATGTGGAGATTGAACAGGAAGTTTTTTGAGAATTTCAATTCTGATCTGAGAAATGTATCAAAGCGACTGAGAAAAACTGTAAGTTAAAAAAGTTTTAATTTTTTACAATCACACACTATGCATCAAACATTATAATAAAACCCATTTGATAAGTTATTTATTCCAGGATATATAATAAATGTTGGAATTTAGATTAAACATAGTTTGATAGAAAACTTTTTTATTACTTTTTTTAATAGAATATTATTATTATTATTTGGTATTAGACAAGCACACATAACTGAAGAATAAACCTCATATATACTCCAGCTGTATATTTGTGGTAGCTCTTAATAATACATAATAATAATAAAACATTTAATAATACATTTTAAAAAGTTAAGGTTATTGTTGAAATCACTATATTTACGTACAGCAGAGATCCCGTGGGACCCCAATCAGAATGGAAGTCATTCTGCAGATCATAAAACACAGGTTAAGCTGTTTTTTAGTGTTATTGCAAGCAAAACAGGTTTAACCCATGGTCTAGTTCACAATTACAAAGATCAGTGCAAAAAAAAAAATGCATCAAGGATGAAGGACTAAACAGAAATAGCATCTCTAAATTGTCAAAACTTCACACTTTATGAATTTTATGACATGTCCTCTAAGTTTTCCTTTCTTAAACCAACTTTAGGAATTCCTCCTTCTCAAAGTTTGGCCTTTCAGTTCTCTCAAGTCTCATTTATCTCTCTCTCCATTGCGGTCTTACTAATTTGCCTAATGTTATGCAGCTGAACTTTTGCTGAACCCGTGGAAGCAGTCAGCCTCACCTCTCAATGACCCACTCCATGACACCGATTCGCTTCCATGGCTTTCTCATCTGACATCACACAAAGGCGTTCCACCTTGTTCACCAGCCTTGCACAACCACACGCAGCAAGAAGAGAGCTTTCCTTTGAATGACATGCGGAAAGTTTCCAGAGAAACAGCCTCAAATGAGTCAAAAAACAACAACACCTTCATGGAGCTTTTTGTGCATATCTCACTTTGTTTTCTCCACGGAATTTCGAAAGTATCAACTCAAAAGTTGATTCATAAAAGAGGAAACACCCTGAATACACAGTGCATGAGATGAAATTGAAAATGCACTCTGAAGTCCTGATCTGCAATGTGTAATGGGATGTCTGTAAACCCTGGTTTTGCAAAACATTGTTCAAAAGTCATAGAAAAGTGATTCAGCGGAAACACTTAACAATAACGTTCCATTTATTAACATTAGTGAACATTAACTAACAATGGAAAAAATATTTCTAAAGCATTTATCGTTGATGTCAATTTCTTTAACTAATGGAACCTTATTGTAAAGGGTTCTGTTATAAACTTTTGAAAGTCTGAAGGTGTTTTGACACAATGTCATTGCATTAATAAATGAAATATATAAAACCATTTTCATTTTAAAGAAAGAAAGCACAAACAAAGTTTTCAAACAAAAATAAAGAAGGTTGTTAGGTCCGAAATGATAAATCTATAGATATGCTGTATGCAAAATGAAGACGAGTATTGTGCCCCTTTGTGGATCATGGTCCCATTATCGGAACACAGTTAATGTGATGAACTACACCTGTGAATGTGATGAACTACACCTGTGAATGTGATGAACTACACCTGTGAATGTGATGAACTACACCTGTGAATGTAATGAACTACACCTGTGAATGTGATGAACTACACCTGTGAATGTGATGAACTACACCTGTGAATGTGATGAACTACACCTGTGAATGTGATGAACTGCACCTGTGGATACTCTGCTAGAACACCCGAGTAAACTTGAGGGGAACCGACTTCATGGCTGCGTCCGAAAGGTTAAAAATGCTGCCTTTGGAGGATGCATTCCAAAGTAGGAACTGATCAAGGCACGTCCGGATGCTATGTTAGCTTCACTTTCTGTCTCCTGAGATAAAGTCATCCAATTTTTGAAGGCAGCATAGATGTATCCTTCGCTTCCTTTGATATCCCAAAATCCTGTGCGTTTCATTCCGCAACAGTTGAGCCAAAAAACTAAAGATGGCGTCTGAATGTTGCGGTTGGTGGTCAGTTTGTTTGTAAATGTAAATTTGTGACCAACATTTTCCATTTTCCAGAGAAATTACTATTGTACTAATTAAATATTCGCTTAGTTATCACCAAAGCTCTCTTTTTTGCTGTAGATCATGAAACCGTTATCTGCCTCAGAAGTCTGCCCGAAATCAGTTTCGTAAGATACCAGTGACCACAAGTGATAGGCAGCAAGTCATTTGACTTAGTTTTTGGACACAGCCCATATATCTACAAAAAAAACCCTGCGTTCACGCCATGTCATAATTATTGTAAATATAGCTCTGTATGCTTTTTTTAATCGATCTCGCTGTACTTTAATGCCATACACCGATCAGTCTGCACACTTTAAGTCGAACACACTTTAAATCTGCAGTGGTCAGGTGATAAGTCATAGCTCTCAGAGTTTACACATTGTAATTACAAGTTCTACAAGCATGTGAAGGCTTTTTACAGTTCAGAATCGTTAAGGTAATTACGACATGGCGAGAACGCACCTAATCACGGCAACACTAGCTGATTAAAAGTCGCTGTAGGAAAAAAAAATCTGTGAATCTCTGTCATCTAGTTTGCAGATGCTACTAGCTTTGATATTTATTTTGACTAATGCAATGAAATATATAACATAATGTGAGCACCGTATGTCCACAGTATGTTGTGAATTTGGGTCAATGGATATCAAGTGTTGTGTACTCCTGAATCAAATGTCACAGGGATCCTAAGCAGAGGGTGAATATAAAACTGTGTGTGTTTTAATGCAGTACCTGCTGATAAGATAGTGAACTCAGCATTCCTCTATAGCACTCCAGTCTTTATCCGCTCTACAATCATTGCAGTTTAATTGTTGGCAATAGTTTTAGTTAACGATAATAACACAGCCACATACAAAGTACAAAGTTGCAAAAATAAAATATGAATTATATCACTTGATATAGTAATATTATTGAAGAGCCAAACGAACAGATAAAGGTCACTGACATTTAATCTTATCTATTTAATCTAAATTTAAATAGAGCAAGACAACTAAACTAGGTTTATTAAAACCAGGATCAAAACAATGTTTAAATGTAAACCTGATTATGTTGGAAGAAGTTTTACATTTTGGTGAAACTGATTCCCTGTCTATGGTCTGAGACGCTGACCCTAAAATGGATGGATGAATTATTAAATAAACCTTTGCCTTAATTGAATCTAGGTTTAAGATCAATGCTTATTGGTGCAACCCACCTAATCCCTCATATGGTATGTACAGGGAGTCTGAGAGTGAATATGTGTGTTTCATAAGTTTCATTTAGCATGAACTTTATCAGAAAGAGGAAATGGGTTGTAAAATTTTTGTGACTCACTGAGGATGATGGGTGAAAACCTAAACAGTTCAACACTGAGCGAAGTGCATTAATCCTAAAACAATTTCTTAATTTAAACCTCATTCACACATGGCAGATAACAAAAGAGACACACACAAAGGCTCTGATGAGTGTCCTCCCCCCCATGACAGGGCAGCCAGTGTTTGAGTGTGGTGATAAAGGGGGGATAAAGGGGTAA